CGGGTTCTTCTGCGCCTTCTTCAGCGCCTTTTTCTTCGGCGGTGCGCGCCGCTTGACGCTCCTTGGGGCCTTTGTGGCCGGTTTCCTCTTCTTGGGCCCCTGTTCCCTTGGCCCCGTGCGCGCATGCGTGTTGGCTGCCACATGCAACAGCGTGTGGTGCGCTAGCCCGCAGGTCTTGCAACTACCCGGCGAGTCGCATTCCCCGGTAGTGTGGGTGAGCGCAAGGCAGTTGACGCAGTAGCCTTGCGCGCGGCCTACTCCCAACCGTTGCGGCGGCTTCATCGCCTTGAAGGCCGGGCACGTCCGCAATGCGTGGTACCGGTGGCAGAGCCGGCATTGTAGGCAATTGTCTGTCTCTGCCGTTGGAGCCAGGGGGCATGCCTTCCGTGCTGCCATGATGTCTTCGATCTGGAAGTAGAAGCAAAGGCAGAGAAACGAGAAGTACTTGGGTACGATATTTAAACGGGAAGTTAAGACCCTTAATATACAAAAGAAAAGGATGTATAGAATTATTTATTGTGCTTTTGGAAGGAAGCACAGTTTGACAAGTGGCCGCGTGATAACTCCATTTTGTGTACGGACTTCCACAACACGTATGTGGTTATCAGGGCCATGGCGAACGTTTTCGATTCGTCCCAATCGCCACTCGGTGGGGGGGAGTGAATCTTCTTTGATTACGACGATGTCGCCTGGCTGAGGGTCGCGTTGTGGAGTTTTCCACACTTGTACCTCTTCTGAAGATCTTTGAGGTAATCTTCTTTCCAGCGGCGACTAAATTGGTGGTGAAGTGCTTTGACTTGCTCCCATCGGTTTAGTAGAGAGACGTCTTCCGCATTAGGCTCGGGAATGGTCAATAGCGGTGCACCTCGAAGGAAGTGACCCGGAGTAAGTGCTGTCATATCAGCTGGGTCTTGAGAAAGTGCGGATAGAGGCCTCGAGTTGAGGACTGCTTCAATTCGCACCAGAAGCGTCGTGAATTCTTCGAAAGTGAACTTGTGGGTTGCAGCGGTTTTCTTTAAATGGATTTTAAAGCTTTTCACTGCAGATTCCCACAAGCCGCCCATGTGGGGGGCGCTGGGTGGTATATATTGCCAGTTGATGCCTTGAGGGGCATATTTTTTGACAATGTCTGCGGAACATTCGTTAAGGAATTTAACGAAGTCGCGTTCTGTTGCGCGCTGGGCGCCAATGAACGTTTTTCCATTGTCGCTCATCATTTTTGAGGGAAAACCTCGTCTGCCAACGAAGCGGGCGAATGCTGCTCGAAAAGCCTCGGTTGTAAGATCCGAGCATAGCTCGAAATGCACTGCCTTTGTGGAAAAACAGACAAAAACTGCAACGTATCCCTTGATAAGGGTTGTAGATCTTAGCAACGATGCTTTAATTTGGAATGGCCCAGCAAAATCTACTCCCGTTGTGGAAAATGGGAGTGAGAAACTGCAGCGCTCAGGGGGTAGAGCGGCCATTATTTGGGTGCGTGTTTTTTGCTTGTAAAGCGTGCACACTTTGCATTGAAAGATGAATTTTTTAATTAGAGGTTTCAGCTTTGGTACGTAGTACTCTTGCCTTACCATTTGGAGCATTAATCGTGTTTCTTCGTGAAGAAGCAGCGAGTGTAAAAACTCCAAATATAGCTGGCAGAACCTCGATTCGTTAGGGAGAATTATTGGGTGCCTTTCATTATAGCTTAATGTGGAATGTGCTAATCGGCCATTAACCCGTAAAAGTCCGTCTTTGTCCAACGAAGGATTGAGAACAATAAGAGGACTTTTTTTGTTAAGTGGCTTTTTATCTTGCAAAGCGCTTTTTTCGCTCGGAAAATGGCGTGATTGCGCTGCGTTGATAAGATGAATTTTTGCATATTGAAATTCGTTATGTGTCAGATGTGGATAGGTGATTGTGGCTACCCCCTTTGATTTGTTGCGGGCATTGCTCACGAAGCGGAACATGTACGCAGTCACGCGGAGTGCTCGAGAGAAAGAAGAAAAGCGATCAAGAAAATCGACCTCTTCTTCGAGCGCGTGATATGCCTCCACCTTGCGCTTTTCTGGTGGAGATGCACTGCATGCCTTTGACCTTGGCCATGCATCCATGTGGCAAGAGAGCCATGTTGGTCCGTGCCACCAGAGTGGGGAATTCGCCAAATCCTGCGGTTTGCACCCACGGGTGCCGAGGTCGGCTGGATTATCTTGGCTGGAAACATGGCGCCATGCACCGGTTGGAAGATATTCCCGGATTTGAGAGGTACGATTGGATACATACGTCTTCCATGTACATGGTGGCTTTTCAAGCCAAGCTAGCACAATCTCTGAATCTGACCATAAGAATATGTTGCACGATTCCAATTTGAGCTGTTTTCGAACAGTTGCGACCAGTTTTGCGAGTAAGACTGCACCACACAGCTCCAGGCGTGGCAAGCTTACCGTCTTCAATGGTGCGACTTTGCTTTTTGCAACCAAGAGAGTGGAATATCTTTGGTTGCTAGCATCTGCGCGGATGTAAATCGCAGCGCAATATGCTTTTTCCGAGGCATCGCAAAACCCGTGGATTTGGGTATCTTGCCCCGGAGTGAAATTAACACATCGAGGGATTTCGATGTGGCAGATAGCTGGCAGATTTTCTGCGAACTGTTGCCATTTTGCTAAAGATATATGTAGGTTTGGCACATTCGTCCCAATCAACGCCATCTAGCCAAAGTTCTTGAAGAAGAATCTTTGCTTGAATCATCACTGGCGATAGCCATCCTGCCGGGTCAAAAAGTTTTGCGACAGAGGATAAGATTTGTCGCTTTGTGACGGCATTCGATGTCGATGCAGGCAGAATGGTGTAGGAAAACTTATCGGTGAGTGCGTTCCATTGTATACCAAGAGTTTTGGTTGTGGAAGCGCTCTCAAATTTCAAAAAGTTGGAGTCGAGAAGATCCTCCTTTGGAAATTTTTCTAAGATGGCCGGATGATTGGCCGTTAGTTTCTTGAGTATGAAACCAGCTGACTTAAGCGCTTTGATCACTTGAAGAAGTGATTCAGTGGCGTTGTCAATATTATGACTTCCGGATAGGATGTCATCCACATACGTTTCGGTTTTAAGTATTGTGGCAGCCAAGGGAAATGTCGCTATCGTATCATCTGCTAATTGATGCAGGGTACGGATAGCGAGGTATGGTGCACAATTAACCCCGAACGTTACGGTTTTAAGATTATAATCGGTGACAGGAGAGTCAGCCGATGTGCGAAATAAGATTCGCTGAAAATCTTTATCGTCCTCATGGATGAGTATTTGACGATACATTTTTTCAATGCCGCCATTGAACACGAATCTGTGCATTCGCCACTGCAGAATGAGCAGCATGAGATCTGGCTGGAGTGTGGGACCAGTGTGCAACACGTCATTCAGGGATTTTCCTGAACCAGATGTTTTTGAGGCGTTGAATACCACGCGAACTTTGGTGGTTACCTTATCTGGTTTGACGACCGCATGGTGTGGCAAGTAGAATGAGAAGTATTTGCCATTAGCTACTATCTCACATGGCTTCGTGTGCTCAATATGACCGAGGTCGAGATATTCTTGCAACACATTGTTATACATTGTGCCTAAGTCTCCTTTTTTCTGAAGCGATCACTCCATGCTAAAAAACTGCTGAAGTGCAGCAGACCGAGAGTGGCCCAGAGACAGCTTTTTTGGAAATTCTTCCTTGAATGGAAGTCGCACAATGTATCGACCGTTTGGGGCACGAGTCGTTGTTGTTGCATATATATGCTCACAAGCCTGATCTTCCGGGGAAATTTGTGGAGGTTGTGGAATCTCCTCCTCTTCCCAAAACTTTCGAAGCTGAGAGCTGAGAGTTGCATTCGAGCACTCTTCTACTTGTGTCGAGAATGACACCACATTTTCGGTTATTGGACCACTGAGAATCCAGCCAAATATTGTTTTTTGCGCAAGTATTGTGTCGCAAATATTTTGTATACCTTCCAGCAGGATTTGTGGAAGTATATTGCTGCCGATTACCATGTCAGTTTGAGCTGGTATGTGACAGCTTGGGTCAGCAAGTTCAAGGATCTTGAATTGCTGCCAGTTTTCACGGCTAATGGTGAATGTAGGCATGTGCCTCGTGAGCTGAGGTAACACGATAGCCTGTGTGTTTATCCGTTGCATGGTTTTTGGTGCTACCAATGTGAGTGGACAAAGCTTTGAGGAGCTTTGTACTACATGTCCACCCATGCCGGAAATTTCGAACTTGGAATATTCGAATGGTAGTTTCAACCGTTTTTGAACTTTCGAGGAAATGAAAGTTCTTTGTGAGCCTTGATCAATCAGGGCTCTAAGTTGAAACAATTCACCCTCGTGTTCAACTGCGACTATGGCAGTTGGAAGGAGAATTTTGCTATCATTGTCGGTGTGCAATGATTGTAGTTGTGCTTGTTTGGAACAGCACGGTTGCTCGCTGGAATCGGAGCTTGACTGCGCTTGTCGAGCGGGAGGTGTCGACTGGGCAGTAGTGTGTTGTGCGGCGGTTTCATTCGTTCGCGCACTGGAGTGTCGAGATTGTGGTTTGGGATTCATGTGCAGCAGGGAGTGATGCCGTTGTTGGCAATGTGTACATGACCACTTGCTCGGACACTCATTAGTGCTATGGGTATTACCAAGGCAGTTTTTGCACAGCTTGGTTTGGTTTGCGAATTGTACTCGGTTCGGTACCGAAATTCGCTTAAATTGTGGGCGGACTCTAATGGGATGAGGGGACTTGCAGTAAGAGCAAGTTGGTTCCCTCTTAGGTTCTGCCACAAAGGTTTGAGTCCTGTTAAAGGACCTGTTTTGCGCAGCATTTTGATGAGCGACTGGTTTTTGTTTATTTTGGCTTGGATGAAGCCGGTTAAGTCTTTCGACTACTTCGTATCTTGAAGTAAGAAAATCGTCCATTTGTGACCATGAGGGTAAATCTCTTCGAGAAGAGAGAGATTGTTCCCAAAGTGACAGTGTGGCTTCGGGCAATTTGGATGAGCAAATGTACACCAATATGGGATCCCAACTGTCTGTCTGGACGTCTTGGGAATTAAGAACTGACAGACAGTTGTTAATTGATGTTTGCAGCCTTTGAAGTTGCTCGCTATTCTCGGATTGAATAGTCGGCAAAGTCATCAAAATTTTAATTTGGTTGTCAACCAAGATACGTTTGTTTTCGTATCGTGACCGTAAAGCTTCCCAGGCCAGCTCGAAGTTATCATCGCTGAGCGGGTATTGCTTGACGATGGAACCGGCTTTTCCTTGAGTTTTGTACCGGAGGTGATACAGTTTTTGAGCACGGGAGAGCTTCGGGTGGTTGATGTACACCGCTGTGAACATGTCACGAAAAGCGGGCCATTCTTCGTAACCACCGTAAAATGTCTCCGTGTCACAAGGTGGGACTTGAAGAAAAACGTTTGCCTCTGCCGAGGTGTGTTCCACGCGGGGTGGTGGACTCGGTGCGGCGATTGCTTTAATCAACGACAGTTGATCGGCAATTTTAGCTTTGGTCACCTCATATAATTCAAGGCAAGTGAAGTACTTGCCTTCTACCGAACTCTTAAAGTTTTCGGGTAGGCTGTCATCTGGCTTTGAAAAAACCAAATCATAGGCGGACTGGAGCCGTGCCCAACAATCATCTAGTGATTTGTCTTTTATCATAAGATATGATTCAGTGTGGTCTTGGATCGGTGCATCACTGAATCTTGCACAGTATCTCATGATACTGTCACTTTCCGCTATAAACTTTTGAGCGGATGGGTCAAAAGTTTTAGGTTTCGGGCGCGGTGAGGGTTCCCTCTTACCACCGGTGGCTTCTTGCGAAGCAGTTTTTGACCTTGTCTCGATTTCAGACATTTTTGGTGGACTGTGTCCAAGTGGCATTTTTAATGCTGTGGAAGGTCACACGTATAAAAATTGAGAGAAAAATTTATCAAATTTTACTGAGTACCACCCAGATAACGTTCGCAAAAATTAGAAAAATATATGTCAAACGAGTAAAAATTGCACTTTGTGCCACAGAAAATCAGAAAAGAATTTTAAGATTTTGTGGCGGTGTTTGTGTTTTTTGTTTCTTGCAAATTACGTGAAATTATACTTGCTTTAATTTTTGGTTCAGCACTTTTTATTACGTGGAAAACGGAGCGTCCCAATTAAATCCGCGGAATTTGGATTTGAAAAATTTCAGTACGAGAAAAAAAAATCACAAACACTTTTCACTTTTATATACGTGGTGAAATATACGTATGTATAAATATTTAATGTGATAT